ATGTGCTCCATGGCACGTGGGATCTTCCCGGACCAGGGCTCAAATGTCCCCTGCACTGGCAGGCGGATTCTTAACCACTGCGCCACCAGGGAAGCCCCAGACACAGAGATTTAAATAGGCAAACGTTCGTTGCAGCCTTATATATAACAAAGAAAAAATCAAAAAAACATGGGGATCCAACGAATGAGGGATTGAATGTCAAATAAATAATATAAACATAATAGAATAATATACAGGCATTAAAATATTTAATGTCAGGCTTCCCTGGTGGCGCAGTGGTTGAGAGTCCACCTGCCGATGCAGGGGACACGGGTTCGTGCCCCGGTCCAGGATGATTCCACATGCCGCAGAGTGGCTGGGCCCGTGAGCCATGGCCGCTGAGCCTGCGCGTCCGGAGTCTGTGCTCCGCAACGGGAGAGGCCACAAAAGTGAAAGGCCCGTGTAACGCAAAAAAAAAAAAAAGAAAAAAAAATTTAATGTCATGGCCTCATAACACAATATATTAATACATAAAAAAATCAAGATATAATACACATAATGGCCCATGTGTGAAAATAATTACATATTACAAATCATATATAATTATATATTACGTATATATTTGCATAGGAGTAAATGTAGAAGGAAATATACCAAAATGCTAGCAAAGATTATCTCAAAGATGGGAACACAGAGATGATATTTGCTTCCCTCTTTATAATTTTCTGTCCTTTCACATTTTTCTCCAATGTAATAAAATAAAGGGGTGTGTGTGTAAGAACAGCGGCTTTGAGATGGGCTCCCCCCTGCCTGGAGAGAAAAGCAGAGATCACGGCGGGGGGCTCCAAGTCAGCCACCTCCTCTGTGCTCACCTGTTGTGCTCCCAGGCTCTGTGCCACCTCACCTTTTCCAGCCCTGTCAACTCTGCCCAGGCCAGGTCTTCCCCTCTGCGTTCCCCGCCCCCTGAGAGTCAGACCCCTAACCCCCTTGGAAGGCCCACCGGAAACATTCCCTGCATCCCGTCCCACTCCCAGAGCTCTGCCCCCACCGCACAGCCCTCCTCCCTGTTCAGTCCGCCTGCTCTGGCTCCAGTACCTGGCAGGTGGCGCAGGCTCGGCACTGGTGCAGCAGGTGTGGAGCTGATTGGAGAGCCCGGAGGACACTTGGTTCTCCTTCCTCCCTGCAGCCGGGACCTGACCATCCTCTGAGGACGGCAGGAAAGTCTGCTGGCGCCAGCGTAGGGGCCAGAGGAGCCCATGGGCCAACGCACAGTAGCCTGGGACTCTACGTGGTCCCTTCTCAGGGCAGAGGGCTGTGGGCGGAGCTGACTGCTGAGATGGGGAGGGTGGGAGAAGCCGGGCTTCCTGACCCTGGGCAGGGCTGGGAGGGGGGTGACCAACAGTCCCAGAGTGCCCAGGAGTGAGGGGCTTCTGGGGACACGGAGCTTTCAGTGCTAAAACCAGGAGAGTCCCAGGCAAGCTGGGATGGTTGGTCGCCCCAGCAGGGGGTGAGCCCTTCCTGTGGGGCTCTGGGACCAGGGTGCTGCCACACGGGGTCACGTCTGCTGAGCCCAGAGCCCTTGTCCCTGCAGGATGGGGTCCCTGTACCCAGGTGATGAGACAAACAGCATTTGGGCCAACACAGGACCGGCACTGTCCCCAGCGTTCTCATGCCCCTCCCCCGACCCGGGGTCCCTCCGTTTTTGCAGGGGATCCTGCCCAAGCCTTGACCCTGTGGGCACCCACAGATCCTCCCAACCCGGGGACACCTCCCTGTGTCTCCTCCTGTTTCAAGGCCTGGCTGCAGTCACCCCTCCACCCCTGCAGCCTCCTCCACCTGAGTCTGTGGAGGGTCCCTTCTGGCCCTCACGCGGCCCCCAGGCTTCAGTGCGTACTCTCAGTGCCCGCCTGTGAGCTCCCTTCTCCCAGGAAATCGCGGGCAAACTCACTCTGTCACTCTCCCGCTCATCCTGGGAGAAGTACTCGTCTGGTGTGGATTCAGAGAACACATCTAGAGGCCCACTGCCCAGTTGAATCCTGGCTCCTCCGCCAGTTAGCCGCTGTGTGACTCCTAACAAGTCACATAACCTCTCTGGGCCTCAGTTTCTGAATGTAAAACCTAATCCACAACCTCAGCGGCTGGACGTTCCACGACTCCCCTGTGCCCACGGAGCAAGCTCGGTTACCGTTTGCCATCGTGATGATGAATCTCCTGCCTTGTCCCAGGAACTCAGAGGCAGCAGGAACATAGTGACGGGAGTGACCGACTGTCGCCAGGCAGCGTGGTGACGGGAGAGCCGTGGCTGAGGAGCAGAGAGCAGTTCCTTGGCCTGGACTGAGCAGGGAGGCTCCCCATGGCGGGGTTGTGGGGTGAGCAAATTCCCCCAGCTAGCCCTGGGACCTGGCGCTTCCCATGCAGGGGCGCTGGCTGGGGACTGTGGGGACGGACACTGGAAAGAGCCCTGACCTCGGAGGGCACACTTCCTGGGAGCTGGGACTTCCTTCCTGTGCATCGGGGAAACCTCGGGAGGTTTTAATCGGAAGGATGAACTGCGTCCTGGGCGGGACACTCAGGTGGCTGGAGGAGGTCAGCCCGGGCTCCCAGTACAGCCTCCTGGCAGCTCTGCGCACAGCGAATCACAGAGTCTTGCCGGGGTCCCTGCACCTGGCCGCCAAGGTGCCTCTACACCCCAGCTTCCGGGAAAGGCCAGACTCCAGGGTCACGGGAGCGATGCCCGCTCCCTCCTGCGGTAGACCCTCTGCTTCCGGCAGCTCTTTGCACTCGTCCCCATTCCCTGCAACAGGCTGGCTCTTGCCAAAGCCTCAGCTCCCAGCCCAGCTCACCTGACTAGAGCCAGCCGGGCCCTTCTCCCCCGCCTCCCCACCCGGCCTCAGTGGATTCCCAGCTGCCGCCAGGCTGGGACTTGCCCCGTCTCATTTTCCCATTGATGACTCAGAGATCGGGCAGGGGTGAGCCGTGGCTGCCGAGGCAAATGGAAAGATGGTGGCGACTGCCCCGCCCTGGCCTCACGGCGGGGCCCCAACTGAGTGAAGTTTTTCCATCTTGTGCATGTCCGCTGGCACTGTTGGGGCCTCTGTGCCCCCAGGAGACCTTGACCTTGCTCTGTGGTCCGGCCGAGCACTCCTGGGGTGAGGGCCCGTGGTCCTTGTCCCAAACTCAGCTGCCAGAGTGGCGAGGACACCCCTGATCCCAGGAAGCAGAGAGACACCCCAGAGAGGCTACGTATCTTTTAAAAAACGAAACTCACTACACAAGCCCCGATCCCCGTGCTGTGAGATCTTGGCGCCTCCAAGCAGCTACAGGGCTCGAGCGATTATCCCCATCCCAACACCCGCCACCGGCACTAGTGTCTGCTGAGAGTCTGTTCGAGGGTCGGTGCTGGGGGTCCTACAGCAGCTCCCCCTTCACAGGGGCTGGGACCTCCTAGCAAGGGGAGCAGCTGAAGCTGGGTTTGGATAGGAACCAAAGCACACTTGGAACCAACGGGCTGGCTGTTCCCAAAAAGCAGGGAGGGCCGGGAGTTGGGAGCCCGCTCTCCCCCTGCACTGTGTGTGCCCCCACAGACATCCCACACTGGCTGTGCCCCCTGCTGTCCTGAGCTGCCAAGCTCCGGAGCCACCCCTGCAGGCTCCGCTGAGGGCAGGACAGTGCCGTGCAGAAGGACACCGCCTGTGCTGCTAACACCCCTCTGCCGGCACAGCCGGCACTTCCTCGCCCTGGGCTCTGGCTCAGATCAGGTGTTTCTTCATCTCTGCGCCCCAGCGCCCAGCGCAGCACCTGGCTGCAAGAGGCATTGGCATGTCTGCTGGATGAGTGTGTCCTGCACCCCGATTCCACCTGCGCACAAACACGCCCCCGTGTCTGAGTGTCTGGACGCCTCCCTGAATCCTCACCATCACCATCACCAAAGTCACCTTTGGGCTCGATGGAAAGAGCAAGGATTCTATTTTATTTTTATTTATTTATTTATTTAGGATTCTAGTTTAGAGGCTGCCGTTTTAGAGCAGGATGGAGAAGCTAAGCCTCTCATGTAGCTTGAATCAAGGAAACAGTGGCAGACACCATGCTCTCCCCACACATATATACAAGAGCTGCCAACCTCCCCACCTTTCTCCCAAAGCTCATGGCAGACATCACCAATTGATCACAGCACCCTAGCTGGCACGGACGGTGATGCTTATTTGCCATCATGGGCTGGGTATGCAGCCTAAGGAGATCATAAATGAGATATCTGTAAAAATTCCTTGGTAACTTGTAAGTTCTCATTTGATTGTAAGATGTAGTTCACATATCAGATAAGCAAGAAGCTTCAGAGGACTCTGAGGGACGGGGACAAAGGACAGAGATCGTGATCGGACAGGAGGAGGAATCTGATGCGGAACGAACAGGTTGGAAGCACTGAGGGACCCCGCCTTGTTGCAGGGGACATTCAGCCTCCCTGCCCCTGCCAAGCAGCCACCGCTTGGCAACAGGGGAGGCCGGACGTGGGTTACCCGATCGGCAGTTTCTGTGTCACTCAGGACAGCTGTGTCTCTGTACCTCGGTTTCCCCACTACTGAAATTATTCCTTTTCAACCATCCCGTAGAGAAGACTTAACGGTGTTAATGTACAAGGCCCAAGTGTGTAAATGACAGAGACAGGCCCTACCCAGAATGCAGAGCCGCCCCCCCAGGAGAGCAGGCAGAGGGGCGTCTCTCGAGACCGAGTGGGCCCGTGCAGGCCTCATGGCCCCTCCCCTAGGACCTACGAGTCCATGTTCCCTGGGTTGCAGGGTCTCTCCCTCCCCAGGCTGGAGACTGCAGAATGGGGTGTGGACTGGGAAAGTGGGGTGAGGACAGATGCTCCAAGCACCAGGTCTTAGCGGCGGGCAAAGAATTCCACTCAGCAAGCGAACAGTGTGGTCACTGCCCTTTGCAGGGCATTTGCATTTGTGGACGGGTGTGAAATGGTAATGGCTGACCCCCCCACCCCCCCACCACCTCCAGGCCTAGTACCGCAGTGGGGGAAGAGGGGAAGGAGGGGGAAAGAACTGTGCAAAGAGAGGTCTGGATGGGTGGGGGTCCCAGAAGGACCCAAGCAGCAGATGACCCCCAGGTGTGGGCCTCAGACCCATCAGCTACCCCCGCCAAAGTAAATCCGGAGGCGAGCCCAGGTGGTTCCTCTTCTGAGCGCCAGCCCGGCCTCCCGAGTCCTGGGGCGCTGGCTCGGTGCCCCCGGGGGACTGCCTTTCTCCGGGCACGGCACCAAGCCGGGGGGCCGGTTAGCAGTCTGCAGCAGAGACGCAGGGCCGTGGCGGGAGGGGGCTTGGATGGCAGCTCTCCACCACGATCTCGGAGGCCAGGCCGGTGGCCGGAAGGTCCTGAGCGGGAGTCTGAGTACCCGGGGGCTCCATGTTCATCCTCAGCCCCTCGGGGCCTCTGACCTGCTACCCGGCCCCGGCCGCCCCTAATACGCTCCAACGCCTCCTCCACGCGTCCACGGCCTCTGCCTCACCAAACGGAGCACAGTCACACCCCGCGAGCCAAAGGGGGCATGGAAGCTGGCAAGAAAGAACAGCAGTCAGGGCAGGGCACACACGGGGGCGGCGAGTATCCACAGGAGCTGTTTGTACCAGAGCTTCCCAACCTGCTCCCAACGTTTTCGGGAGAGAAGAGCATTTGTCCAACACCCTGTCATCACTGCAGGAAGCTGTTCCTCCCGGCCTCTGAGGCCTGGGGGATCAAAGAGGATCAGCCGTAAGGACAGAAGGTCTGCCTCCTGCCTGGCCTCTCAGTGACCCCGCACTGCCCCACGAGAGGCACTTAACAGGAGGGCCGACCACCAGGCTCAATGGACCCGACCTGGCGAGGTGAGAAGCTGCAGGACAGGGAGAGTCACGAGGGTGGTGGGAGTGGGGTGAGGGGCATACAGGTTTCCAGGGGAGAAACGACACCTAGATCCTTCCTCAACCTGCGCCCGGTTCCCCCGGGAGGGGGCGGCATCTGGGGAAGACGGCACAGGGCCAGGAGCCACAGTTTCTAGGTTCTATTCCTGGTCCCTCCCCTGAGCCTTGCTGACCACAAACCCGCCCCCACCCCCTCCTCCAGCTTCCCTTCTCGGCCCAGCCAGCATGGCGGGCACTCTGGGGCAGGTGGACAGGCCCACCCTCTTTGGCATCAGTGGCCTGGCCTGCACACCCCACAAATCTCCTGGTTTCCCAACAGCTCAGCCCCAGGACCCAAAATCCACCACTGAGAACAGGTAGTGGAGCTCCCAGGCCCGGCCCAGCTCCCACCAAGGTCCCACCTTGGGAGCTACGACTCCTGGGTTCTGGCCCCAACCCTGAGAACCCTGCCACTGAGGGAGGCCGTCTTCCTGCCTCAATCCCACCGTCAAGCTCCAGGACGAGCGTCATCGCAGCAGAAAGGGGTGGGGGGGCAAGCTCATCCCCCCTCCGCCCTCCCCAGCTCCCTGAAAGCCACAGCCCAGGAGCCCTGCCTTGGTGGGGGTGGAGGCCCAGCCGCCTGAAGGTCTGTTCTGCTAGCCTCTTCCACCTGAGTCAGGGCAGAACCAACCTGGGGGGGGCGGTGCGCATCCTGCCCACCCTCCTCTCAGGCACTGCGGGCACATTCAGGACCCCTGCCCGGCGCCCCAGGGGGAAGGCCGGCTCTTGGCCCCAGGCCCAGGCACCCAGGGTCGACTCCTGGGCTTTCCCTCCCCATTGGCCCTACGACGGCCAGCTTTGAGAGGGCATGCTGGGGGGGGGGGGCGGTGTGGGGGTGGCCGGGCGGGCATTTCCTCCGTAGGGGAAAGAGGAGAGAGGAGACGGGAGGGCAAGGGGAAAGAAAGGCTCAGACCCCAAGAACTCACCTGGCACGACCCACGACACCGCGTCCATGGCCGCGGGAAGCGAAGACGTTAGCCTGCGGTCTAGGACACGAGGGTCCCGGTCCCGAGGCTCTGCCGGGCGCGCACGGTCTGGATGGCCTGCTGGTTCTTGAACTTGACCAGGCCCAGGGTGATCTGCGCGTTCCAGCCGGGGTCCTCGGGCGGGCAGCGGAAGTCGATCTCGCCGCCGCCCTCGGTCACCAGCGTGAAGTAGATGTGGCGCCCGGTGCTCTCCACGCACTCCACGGCTTTGATGCGGGCGAAGCTGAGCTCCTTGGGCCGGCCGCCCGCGCCCTTGGCCTCGAAGAGCTGCAGCCCGCGCTCGGTGAGCACGCAGCGCTTGCGCTTCCACTGCTGCAGCAGCCCGCCGCTGCGCTTCTCCAACACGCCCTCCCGGAGCACGGCCGCCGTCATGGGCGCGCGCGGGGCCGGGGCCGCGGCGCGCCCCGCCGGTTCTCCCTGCGGCCCGGCCGGCGCGCCCGGTGCCTCCCGCGCCGGGCTTCGGCCCCCGCCGCTGCTCCGCGCCCTCTCGCCCGCTCTCGCCCGTTCGCCCTCTCGCTCCCCGGGCCGTCTGCGCGTCGGGCGGCAGCTCGCGGGATGTGCCCTCACATGTCCCGCGCCCGCCTCCCGCCTCCTGCGCCGAGCATTCCTGCCCGGCCGGCCCTCCCCTCTCCTCCCCTCCCCTTCGCTCCTCTCCCCTGCGCTCCCGGGGGCGGGGCGCCTTCAGGCCTCCTGTCTGCCGTTTCTGGGGACCACATCTCCTCCAGGCCTTGGACTCGGGGGGGATAGTGAGGGGGAGGAGGAGGGGCGTCTTCCAGACGTGAGGGGGTCGCTGCTTGTGGGGGAGGGGGGGTTGTTCCGTGGTCGCGCACTGGCACCGGTTGGGACTCGCACGGGATGGGGGTTGCCAGACAGCTGCTGGAGCTTCCCAGGCCGCGGCAGTCCTGGCCCCCAGCCTCTGCCCCCCAGCCTCTGCCCCCTCTCCTAGCTTGACCAGCTCCCCCTTGGCGTTGCGCAATCAGAAAAATGAGGCCGATCCTGGGGTTGGGGCGGGGGAAAGGGGGGATCAAGCCGAAGTTGGGTTCCTCCCCCATCTGCAGGTTTTTCGGTTTGGGCCCCAGACAGGCTGCCCACAGCTGTCTCTGCTTGGACGACCCACTGTCCTGAGCCTGCCCCCATCCAGTGCGGCGGAGGAGAGCAGGACCTTGAGGTCCCTCGGCCTCCCCTCCCCGCAGTGGAGGAGGAGGGGCCCGCCCCCCACGGACCACCTGGCAATGGCACTGCCTGTGTCCTGGGCACACACTGGAGGGGCCTGCAGTTCAGCCCACCTAGACCGTGCCTGGTGGAGTCAGCCCCAGGCCAAGCGCGACCTGTTGCTTCCCCTCCGCAGATTCAATCAACCTCCCTCCATCCTGCACCGCACCCCCCAAGAAGGGACTTTTCCCCGGATGCTGAGCTGAAGACGGAGGGAGGGGACGGAAGAAGGCTCCCCTCCCTTTTCTGCCTGGAGAGTGTGGTGTAAAGATACCAGCTCTGTAGAGTTGGGTTCCAACCTCAACTCCTCCGCCTTGGTGGCTGTGTCCCGCCCACCTCGGGCAACTTCATCATCCTTCAGTTTCCTCGTCTGTCAAATGAGAGGATTAATTGATTCTTATCTCACGAGCTCTAGTGAATAAGTTAGATTACATTTGTGAAAAGCCCAGGACAGAGCCTGGTAACTCTCAGAGTCTCAAGAAATGTTATTCCAGGGAATTCCCTGGTGGTCCAGTGGTTAGGACTCCGAGCTTTCACTGCTGAGGGCTCCAGTCCGGGAACTAAGATTCCGCAAGCCGTGAGGCACAGCCAGATAAATAAATAAATAATTGAAAAAAATAATTATTCCACCCCTTCCCCCAGTTTTACTGACTTTAGATGACGATGAGGACCCCGGCCCGGCACTGGGAGACAGCTCCCTGGGTCCTAATGCCGCCCCATCTTGGTCAGCTCCTCCAGGACTTCCCATTTCTTAGGGACCTATTCATATACATGTTAATAATAGCTTATTATGGGAATAATGATTTGTAATAATGACAGTAATAAGACCTCTTTGTACTCGCACCCTGTGTTTCCACCCTCCTGCCCAGTGATGTGGAGCCTAACGGGCACAGAGAGGGTCCAGTGTGGAGGGGGAGGGCGCCCTCCCCGGCAGCACCCAAGTCAGGAGCTCTCATCTTCCCACCCACAGCTCTGCAGCCCTTGTGCTGCAGGAGACACACGCGTACACATGCGTGCATGTGCACGTGGGCCAGCTAACCCCCTAACTCCCAGAAGGCCCCTCCACTGGAGGGAGTGGTCAGACCATGAGAGAAGAGAGGCAACCAAGATAGACAGCTCCAGAGGGCGGCAGTGGAGGGGGCTCGAGGAGCCCGCAGCCCTGCCTTAGGGACCCCCAAGGTCTCAGCCTGCCCACAAACCATGCCCTCCTGTGGCCCTCCCTCCAGCCTCCAACACCCACGCCCCCCACTCCATCCCTCCATAGGCATCTCCTGAGTGCACCAACCCAGCACAGTCCTGCATGATCCAGAATCCTACTGAGGAAACAGGGCTCCAGACCAACTCTGTTCCTAACTGTTTTATCGCTGTCGTTTCCTCCTCCTCCGGGCCTGGGACACGTTGGTGCTCTCTCCAGACCCAGGTGAATTCACAAACGTATGGGCTTGGAAAGTTTACAGAGAGCTCTCACGTGTTTTTGAGTCTCGTGGCAGATGAGATCAGAGAGGCCGAGCAACCTAGATGAGGTCACACAGCTTTGTAAATGGCAAAGCTGGGATGAGATTGCGTGGTGGCTGAGAGGACCCAGGATCTTTGGCTGACACCACAGCACCTCTCTGTAAGCATGTGGGTACACAACATTCCTTTTAAACGTGAACCAGCCACCCACACTGTTCCCGTCAGCTTCCTGGCTGGAGGGGTGCCAGGCTTTTGGACACAGGAGAATGGGCCGGGAAAAGACAGAAGCACTGGGTAACGGGGAGGCCATGGGAGGAAATTCAGCAGGGCGTACTCTATTGCTGGAAAGGTCGTTACCAGTTAAATGTCCGGTTCCCAGCCTCACATCCCCCCGGTGTCCTGTGTAGGTCCTTGGAACCTGGGAGTCCTGCCCCCCACCCCACCCCCCGGGGACGAGGGGAGATGGCTCATTCTAAACCTTTCGCCCAGAATGGTGTCTGCCTGGTGGCCCCATCTGGGAGAGGCTCAGACTCCAGCTGGATTACTTGAGCCTCAGAAGGATCTAGAGGGGCGGGGTGCAGGGGACTAGTGCCAGGGCATCTGTACCCCACCCCCGGGGAACACCGCCCCTGGGTACCAAGTCCCTGGGTACACTGCCCCTGGGAATGGAGCTCTCACTCAGCCTCTGGGGCTTGGCTGGGGCAGTGCCGAGTCCCAGAGACACTCAGTCAATTCTAGTGGACTTGTTGACTCCACAGGGGACTCTGCTGGGCAGAACCGGGGCTGGCTCTTCCCTCTGCCCCTTGCACCTCCCCCCCAGGGAAGTTGGTCTGCACCGTCAGCCCGTCTGCATCCAGCTGGAATGGGCTGGACTGCAAAATGGCCCCAGGGAGCAGTGGGCTGGAGGTGCTCTCTGAGCCTCCCTAGTGGGGAGTAGGGCGCCCGGTCCACTCCAGGTGGCTGCCTGGGACGGGGTAGAAAGGAAGATGGGAACAGCATGGGATGGACAGAAGGACGGGGCCCAGAGAGGCTCAAGGAGTAAAATCTCTGCTGTTTTCTACAATGTGTACTTAATCTTATTATAAATTCGCTTTAGTGTTCATTCATTGTGAGGCTCAGTCCATAGAACAAGCACGGAAGATCATCATATTTACAAAGAGAATGTATATCAGCACAGTACAAATTTAAACGGAAGGGAGAATCACCCCTTTGCTTGCAATCCTCCAGAGCCTGAGGCCCCTCAGTGATGCAGCCCTGGGGGGCCTGCCCCTTTCTTCCTGACCTGTACCCCACGCCTCCCCCACCTCCAGCCAGTCTCCTCACCAGCCTGCCCACAAGGCCACGGGCTCCTCCCTGCCTGGACCGCTCCTCCCCCAGCATCTCTAGGTTCGTTTCCTTACCTCACACAGCTCTGTACTCAGACATCACCTTCTCAGTGAGGTCGTCCCCACCACCCTGTTTAAATCCCCCCCCACAGTCACACTCACACACACAGTCACAGGCACACATACTGCATCCCCTTCCCTGCTTGACTTTTCTCTATACCACGTGTCACCATCTACAAGTCTTGATATTTCCTTAGTTCCTGTATGTCTCCTCTGCCAGAATGTAGGCTGTATGCCAGCAGGGAGTCTTATCTGTTTCCTTTACTTGTAGATCCAGCACCTAGACTGTTGTCTGGCACACAGGGGGGCCTGAGCACATAAATGTTGAGTGAGTGGATGAAATGGAAACGGAACTGAAAAAAACTGGGAGGAGGAAAAGGGATAACGACGGAGTTCCCCATCCTTTCATTGTCAGGAGTCAATAAACGCTACCTACAGTGAATGAACCAATAAGGAGAGGTCCAGGTATATTATTTAGAATGATAATAGTAACCACCAGATGGTCACACGGGATTTTTAAGGCAGTGAGACTATTCTGTATGATATTGTAATGGTGGATACATGACATTAAGTACATGTGTATTACGTATATTTTTAAAATAAAATAAAATCCCTGGGGCTAGCTAGAAAGCTGGCCTGGCAATTCCCCAGGTGGGCACTGCAGGGCCTCCTGGAGTTGGCCGTGGGCACCACAGCAGAGTAGCCCCTGGGCTGGGTGTGCAGCCCCTCCTACCCCTGTGGCTCGCTCGCCCATCCCCCGCCCTGGGAAACACGGGAATCCCCAGGTTCCCCCTAGACCCCTGACAACTGGGATTGGACGGCTCCTCCAGGCTGCCTGGATTGGACTCCCAGGAAGGAAGAGGCCATGCGGTGCCGACAGTGCTTCCAGACTGCAAGGTACAAACAGTTCACCTGGGGAATCTTGTGAATGCAGATTCTGATTCAGTAGGTTTGGGGTGAGACCTGAGATTCTGCTTTTCTAGAAGCTTCCACGGAACATGCTTGGACAGCAAGGGTCTAGAGCAGCGGTTCTCAGGTGTGTCAGCAGCGGCACCTGGGAACTTCTTAGAAATGCAGGTTCCAGGCTCCACCCTGGACCTGCCAAGTCAGAAACTCTGGGTTTGGGGCCTGTGTTGTAACCAGCCTCCAGGTGATTTTGATGCGCCCAAACCATCGGGGTGGAGGACGGAGCACTGAGCCGGGAGACAGGGCCCCAGCTCCATGACACCTGGGACAAGTCTGTCCCCTCTCTGACCTCAGTTTCCTGGTCCCATAAAACGAAGGCTGCCCAGCCCATGTTAGATTTGTAAGAAAGTCTGGCTGGTTTCTGGGGGGATCGGTTGTCTCCCCTTTGGTGAGA